TTTTTTTTACACAGAAAAAGTCATGAAAATATCAAACATGACTGAACTTAATTATTATTGAACATATATGGGTATTTTGGCCAAAGGCCAGCAATACTGGATGAGTAAGAAAATAAAGATGTGGATAATTCACAAATTGTTCTATCTTTATTCCATAAAATCTATTTTTCTTGCCTTGATTTGAACAAAATTACTAAGTATGTTGCTATAATGAAAAGTTTCAGGGGTGCTGACTGGCTCCATCATCAGAGCATGTGACTCTTGATCTCGGGGTTGTGAGTTCAAGCCCCAAGTGTAGAGCTTACTTAAAAGGACAAAAAACAAATTTAAGAGGGGCGCCTGGGTGGCTCAGTTGGTTAGGCAACTGCCTTCAGCTCAGGTCATGATCCTGGAGTCCCGGGATCAAGTCCCGCATCAGGCTCCCCGCTCGGCGGGGAGTCTGCTTCTCCCTCTGACCCTCCCCCCTCTCATGCTCTCTCTCTCTCTCAAATAAATAAATAAATAAAATCTTTAAAAAAAAAAAGAACTCTAGAGGGGGGCCCAGTAAGGGTGACCACCCCACTTAATGGATGAGGAAATGGGATCTTGCCAAAACCCAACTCCAAAACCACTCTTTCCACTGCACCCTCTGCCTGTCAAGTAAGATAATGAGTCTGAAAAACGGGGAGGCCCATTTGCTGGTAAGAGATTTTTATCACCTAGTTAAGGGAAGGTTTTTTTGGTTTTTTTGTTTGTTTGTTTATTGGTCCATGATAGTTCCATATTGTATTGTTATGTTATGTATCTTTGCAAAATACTTTCATCTACATGATCACAATTCATCCCTGGGACAATCTTTGGGAGTAGTGGGTTTTACTTCCCATTTAACAGCTGAGAATACTGAGGCTTAGAGATGTGAAATGATCCATCCAAGCTCACACAATGAGACTAACACCTAACTTTTATTGGGGGATTAATATATGCTAGGCACTGTTCTGTGATTAACACATTTAATCCTCAAAACAACCCAGTGAAAGGGGTACTTTTATTCTCCTAATTTTACAGATGCAGGTTGGGGTGCAGGCCCCGAGCACTGAGATCTGGTCATGAAGGGGTTAAGTGTGAGGCCGGGCAGGGCCCAGCTGGGATGCTGTCAATGGCAGGAAACCTGGCCTGTGAAGGAGGGGGAGGATGGGGCTGTTGTGTCTGACTTGATGCAACCCCCATCCCTTTGGTCTTAAAGGAGCATCCGGGTTGGGTGGAAGGGCAAGCAGAGTGGGGGTGGGACATGGGGGGGTGGGCTTCTCAGCTCTTTTCTAGGGACCAAGACAGATGCTAGGCTACAGAAAGGGGGGATTCAGAGTGGACTGCAGGTGCCGCCCTGGGGCAGCCCCGGGTCTGAGGAGGTTGACTACAAATGACCCCGCCTCCTTGCAGGAGCAATCCCTGAGTCAGAGGGGGGAGACAGCTCCAGACCTCGGAGCACCCAGTCAGAGAGGGGAGGCGCAGCTCTGCCCTCAGGAGTCCAAGGTGGGGGGTGGTCAAGGAGCCTTGCTTTCAGGAGCTCACAGTCTGAGGGGTGACAGTTCCCTGTCCCAGGATGCCAATGGACACAGACCCTCTACCTTACTGGCAGAGAGGCTCATGGAGGAGAGATCAAACTGGATTGGCTTCCGGCTGGCTTCCGGGGTGAAAGAATCCTTGGGAGCGGGGAGATGATGAGGCAGAGCTACAGCTGCTGGCCCTGCTGGTGTCCCGGTTACACTTGCCAAGAACCGGATTATCTGCCTTTCTGGTCACGGATCCCTAAGGAGATTCGTGCTAGAGCCAGGACCTTGGGCCAGTGGGAGGCCAAGTCTGAGAGAGGTTTCCTTCCTATTTCCAGGCTCATTCCCGGATCACCTTGATGATGGATTGGAATGGGTCTGAGTCAGAACTGGCTCCTTCCGGAGGAGAGAGTGGGGAGAAGGTGGCGGGGGGAGGATGGGGGAGCAGCTCTGGTCAGTGTTGGGAATAATGAGATGGCTCAGTGAGGCCTTCAGATGCAGCCTCACACCCCAGATCCACAGTGTTACCTCCCTTAGCAGCCCGCTACAGCCCCCTCACCACAACCATCCACACCTCGGCCCTGCCTTTGATGCTAACCAACCCTGGTGTAACCACTCACTGGCGGTGTGGCCTGGAGCATGAGCTTAACCTCTCGGAGTTTTCTTCGGTGTAAAATGGGAATGAGCAGCATGAGGAATTAGCGGCTGTGGTGCCTGAGGAAGCCTCTGGTGCCTTAAGGTGCTCATAAATGTTAGATGAATCTGCCTTTTAGCTCTCGCCCAGCACTGACACCTTCCTGACACCTCCGGCCTCAATCTTATCTCTAACCCCATAGTCTCAGCTGCTGTCAACAAATCATTCTGAACACTGCGGTGTGCTGTGAGGTCAGCAGCTGGGTCAGACACGGTTTCTGCTCTCAGGGAGCTCAGGCTGCTGAGGGGTTGGGGGCGGGGGGCAGCGGTGGTGGGCAGAGGCTGACACACTGATCACAACTCCAGCCAGGGCAGTGCTTCTGTGACGGAGGCCAACGAAGCAGGGGACTGGGGAGGACGTTTGTTCTGCTGGAGAAGCGGGGGTGGGGGCTGGGGGGGTTGGGCAGGGGGTAGGGATTTCTGGCCTGGCTGGGATGGGAGGTGGGGGGTGGGGTATTGGGGGAGGGATGGTGAGAGCTACAGGCCTAAAGAGGCAGGAGTGGCAGGGTGTCAGTGAGGGCAGGAGGTTGGGGGGGGTGTGGGGAAGGGGGGGAAAGAGTGAGGCAGAGGGAGAGAGAAGGAGAGGAAGAGGGAGGGAGAGGCTCAGGGGGGCTGAGAGGGAAGATGGGGTGCAGAGAAGGGATGGTTTCTGTGAGGAGATGCGTGAGGTGGTGGGGGTCCTGAGAAAAGGCAGCTCAGAGGAGAGATGGGGCTCTGGGTGGCATCTGGCTCAGTGAGCAGGAGGGTCTCAGGCTGGCGTCGGTGGGGCCCCCTCCGCTGGCCCTGTGTGCCCCACAGAGATTAGAGCAGCTATTCTGTAATTCGGGGCCTTCCGTTTAGGAAAGAATCTCAGCCACAACAATAGCCTGGCTCTCGCTCTCCCGGTGAGGGGTGCGGCCTCTGGGCAGAGCCAGTGCCCCGCACCCAGGCGGGAAGGGGGGAAGATCATGGGGGCGTGGAGAGGAAGGTGTCGTTAAACTCGTTTGTGGAGCACCTCCGTGTTGCCAGCGAACGAAGTGAATAAGAGATCAGATTTCTGCTCTCGCAGCGCCTACAGCCTGGTAGAACGAGGAAGATGAGTCCATGTAATGTGCGCCATGTACTGGGCGCTCTGCTCAGTAGGCACCTTCTTCTCATGCAGCCCCCACGTGAACGCGGTGAAGGAGCGGCCCAGGCCGGCAAAGTAACTCAGCTGGGGTCACACAGCTGGCAGCCGGAGAGTACGGCCTGCAGAAGAGCTCCCAGCTCCCCGCACCGCGCCCCCGCCCCCCAGCAGTACCTGCGACTTCGGGTCCTGCGCTCCACTGCTCCCCCTACCCACTGCCTGCCCCCTTGAGGTGGAGCCTAGAGTCTTCTGCACGCAAGCAAGCGAGGCGGGAAGGAGGGCAGCCCCAGCTGCTGTGCTTACCACCTCCATCTCCTTGCCCACATCTTCATCACCACCTCCTTCATCCCCACCTCCCACTGCTGTCCTCAGCAAGGTGCCTCCACATCCAGTGCCAGGAACAAAACCCATCCGGTCTCGACCTAGTGCAGTAGGGAACACGTGGGCAAGAAATGGGGATTCTCGTGGAATGCAGCGGCAAGAAATCCATCCTCAGGCAAATACTGACAACTACACGTTCATAATGACATGTTGAAAAATATGTTTTGTTTTGTTTTTTTTTACACAGAAAAAGTC